TCAAACATATACTTTTTCTCTTAATTCATATATACTATAGTGATAACCATTTGAATGATGACATGAACATCATTTTGGTGCTCTGTTGTAAGAATCTAATGTAATATGATTGTGACAATTAAAAATATGGCCATAATATTTAAAGAATTTCCTGTAGTCATTTTAATCAGTTTGCTGTAACCATTTCCAACCTTTTTTGTTTCTCTGTGTATATATTTATGTTACAATGTAATTAATATTCATTTAATAAACATAAACAAAGATGAATAATGAAAATGATGCCGATGATTTTGTAATATTTTGTTTTAATTTTATCGGTTGTAATCACTATTTTCATGTGTATGTTTTTTTTTTTTTGTAATTTATTTGTTTCATTATTATAATAAAAGGTTCTCTTTTATATATTTTTAAAATAATAATAATAAAAATACTGTCTGTATAATTATTGTTTTTTTTTTTTATTCAAATTTTACTACATATACACTTTTTTTTATAAATCATTTTGTTATTTATTGAGTACTTTCATAAATAAATTAAGATTTTTTTTTTCATAAATTGTGTATGGTATGTGTGTAAAAGTGTTCTTTTTTATGAGTTTAATGTTCTATAGTTTTTTTCTTTATTATTATTGATGCTGGTTTTGTTAATTTATTTCTGATTTTTTTAATATTACTTTTTGGTAACTAAAAACTTTTTATCTGATTTAGTTTTTTTGATATTTTAAAGTTGTATTTTTTTTGGTTTCGTGTTAAAACTCAACATTAACCTGTGCGTGTTGTTTTTCAATATATTTTTATATATATTTTGTGTTTTACATTCGATATTTCATTGTCATTTTATTGCGTTCTGAATGTGAAAAAATGGCAAACATTATTTTTATATGTTTCTATTAAGTTCATTCGTTTTTTTGTTTCTCCCTCTCGTAGGCCCTCTTATACAACAATTCAATTGTATTGATTCCACATTAAAATTTACACTTAGTTGCCATTTTTATAGTTGATTGTGCTATTATCGCCATAATAAAAAAAGAAAAAAAAAAAAATAATATTATTGCAATTTCATTTGTTTGGTTAAAATGGTATTGTATACCTTTCAATGACATTTTATACCCTACACTTAATGATTGGTTCATCAAGTATACTTGAATTTATTCAATTGTAGTTAATTGTTTGTTTTGTTGCTAAAAATCATAAAGAATGTAAATTTAATTTAGTTTCTAATTTAGACCTTATAGATTCATCGGGGTCGTGACCAGAGGTCCCCAACGTAGGATACCTCGGGTATGTATAAAAAAAAGGATTGCTTAAAAATTGGACTGGGTCTAAAGTTATATGCATTTTAATTTAAAAAATATAAAAAATTGTTTTCAAGTCCTATAATATTCCTGTATGTCCGGAAGAGGTTATAGGCTATTTTTTTAAAATTTCAAGTGGGCGAGGAGCCACGCCCATATTAAAAAAGTATTAAATACATATATTTGAGATAATATAACAGTTAGAGTCCTCAAAATTTTGTCGGAGCCACTTTCGTTTCAATATGATTATTTAGGTCAAAAAGTGGGCGGAATAGCATTAGGGGGCGTGGCACCTTCCACATAAATTAAATAAAAAAAATTCCTTTATCTTGGATATTATTACAGTTAGAAACTTAAATCTTTGCACGGATATCTTTAACATCCATGTAAACATTTTGGGTGATAAATTGAGAGAAGCGGCACCTCCCATATTAATTAAATACAAACATTTGTTTATCTGGGAAACTAATAAAACTAAATTCTTTAAATTTTACACGAAGAACTTTAATATTTATCTGAATATTTTGGAGGAAAAAGAGCGGACTTTCATTCCTATATGAATTAAATAGAAATATTCGTATATCTGAGCTATATTCTTCAAATTTTACTTGAAGAACTTTGACATTCATCTGAACACTTAGAGTATAACGGGCAGACTCTCAATGGGGGACTTGGTACCTCCCATATGAATTAAATACAAAATCATAGAACTTATAGAACTAGATTCTTACAATTTTGCAAACATTACATTAATATTCATCTGAACATTTTGGAGAAAAAAGGGTGGACTTTCATCTGGGGAAGATTGAATTAAATAAAAAAATTCGTATATCTGGGAAACTATTAGAGCTAGAATCTTCAAATTTTACATGAAGAACTTTGACATTTATGTAAACATTTAGATAATAACGGCCGGTCTTTCAATGTGGGGCTTGGCACCACATATATGAATTAAATACAAAATTTCGTATATCTTGGAAAGTTAGATTATTCAAATTTTTCATATTAAATCTAAAAGTTAACAAACGTGGTAAGCTCAAAATCAGTTCTTAACAGTGAGCCTACCACGTTTGTTAATTTTTAGACAACGGATGTGCATAGAATTTAGATTGCGACAACGAATTGTTGCAATGTTGACAACGTTGCGTAGTCAACAATACATGTTGTTGTTGTATATATGTATATACTTGACAACGGATGTAATTGAAAAATTTGGTGTCAATTTGGTACCAGGCGTGTATATTTTTTTCCCGTCTGTGTATGACCGACGTTTTCTAGAAACAAATTTATATACATTTAAAACTTCTAATTATTTCATATCGAAAAGTGTAGGGTAAAAATATTGTATCAACTAACGTTTTTATAACAGCTCTATTGAAATGTCCTTTTCTACAGTTGTTAATGTTTTGCCAAATATTACAAATATATATTGCCATTTTTTCCAATGTATTTGTGCGAAAATGTTGTCATTTATATTTTTTATTGTTAATATACCAAAAAATAAATAAAAAAAAAACATAAAAAAATTAATAGTTTTATAAAACAGCATTTATTTTTCAATACTCTTACACCAATAGATATAAAGATATGTTTGACTAAATACAGAAAGTACATATACACTTTCTGTATTTAGTAAGTGATGTTATGGAGTGTGGAGTTGTATATGTATGTTTATAAATTAGTATATATGTATATATATATATACATAAATGTATTTATTTATTTATTTATAACTATTATTTAAGGTATTTTTCCTTTGTTGTTGTGTGTTTGTGTTTTTTCTTTATGTAATAATTTATTTTCTTAATGTTATTTACAACTTTGCAGCACGTTATACGTGTTAATCATTTGCTGGTTCTTTTTTCTATAATTTATAACTCATCTCTTGTGCATTTTTCCTCAATTACTGAAACCTTTAACATAAAATATGATTTGGGTTTTCATTCTAATCTCATTATACTCATAGTACTTCTAATGTTTGAAAAACAAATTGCTTAAAACCATCATATGTATGTATATATTTTTTTTTTGCTCTGTTCTAACTTTCAAACTTTTTCCACATTAATTTTAATGATGACCATGTGTTAGGTTTTTGTTGTTGTTGTTTCAGCTAAAACCAATCTAAGCTCATTAAATATAAACTCATTGTAGTTTTTGAATTCAAGAGTGTGTGTGTGTGACGTTATTTCTGTTTAGCGGTGTGAGTAAATGGGAAACTATTTCCACTAAATTTCTATATATTTTTATTGTTGTTTTCATAATATAATCAACATAAAATATGACGTCTATATCAAATCTAAACACTGCTACTGTCACTGCACTCTAATGCAAATAAATTACAAAAATTCTAATTTATAGTAGAAAAAAATGTAGAACATTTAGCAGCAGTATGCAAATGACAATAGTTATAATGATAAATTTAAGATAATGAAATAAATATATACATAAAGTTTAATGTGTGTTTATAAAATAAAAAAAATTTGCTAAATTATTTTGAATTTTAAAATACTGTTGTGGTAAAGAAATTATAAAATATAATACACTTACATAAACTTTTAAAAAGGATTAAAAATAAACTTTTCAAAGGATTAAAGAACAAATTTTGTATGAAAATTTGATTTATAAACCTATGATAAAAGTTTATGAATAACACCCGTGAACTCAATATTAAAATTACAAAATTACAAAACTCAACAAAAAAATAATAAAGCAAATATTTTTACTGAATTTTTCTATATAGGACTAATCTAAAGTATAAATAAAATATCGATTGTTTTGAATGGGTTGTTTTGAAAACACATAATCTGTCGTATTGCTTTATTTCAAATGATATTTCTATAGTTTTTAAAAAAATTTGGCAAAATAAGTTTTTCTTCCCTTATTATTACATTCCTTTCTGTCTAGGAAAATACTAATAATTTACAGGAAACTGTATAAAAACAAAGCTTTTTTTTAATAAACAGATGTTATCGCTAGAAAGCTTTTTACAAAAACTAAAACTTTTGCCAAAAGTTGGTTAGTGGTTAGTGTTCTAGTCTGGTAGACCGGAGGTGGTGGGTTCGATTCCCACCTGAGGCACTGGTTATGCAGCGCACAACAGGCCCGACAGAGGCCTAGGTGTATTTCTTCGGATTTGATGTATATACATCCTCCTTTTAAACTAACTAACTAACCAACTAACTTTGCCAAATAAAGTTTTTCTAACAATGTAAAAATGCTTGTCTATATAAAAAACATTTTTATTGAAAGCTTTTTTTTCAAAGGAAAATGTTTTCCTAAATATTAGTAAAGCTTTTTGCGTAAAAATCATTACTTATCTTTCTTTATTTGTTATAAAAAGAAATTTCTCTCAAAAAAGCTTTTTCATTCATTTCACATTTTTTTAAAGCTTTCTTTAAAATTTTTACTAAAAACAATCTTTTTTCTCACAAAAAAGTTAAAACTTTTAAAAAGAATTTGTTTAAGAAAATAAAAACCATTTTTTACGAAATAGATTTAAAAGCTCGATCACAAGAGCAAACTTTTCTTCTTTGGCGAAAAGTTTTCAAGTTTTGAAAAAAAAAACTATATTCCTTTTTTTATGGAAGAAAAAATTTTCTCAATTTTAGTGAGTCAGTTTTTTTTTTTTTTGTACAAAAGTTGTAACAAAGAGCTTTTCTTTTTAATTGCTTTGCTAAAAAAAGTAGAAATCTTAAAAAATCACAAAACAAGAAGAGCTCTTTTTACCTAAAAAGCTTTTCTCACTAAAAACAAAAATTGACAGAATTTTTTTCTTAGAAAGAAACGCTTTTTTCATTCTTTACAAAGTTATGTGTACAGTTTTCTCAACCAAAAGAGCTTTTTGGTGAAAAGAGATTTTATGGGAAAAAGTAGACATAATATAAATTTAATTTGAAATGGAAAACAAGAAAATCGTTTTTTTTCCAAAAAAGCTTTTCTCACTAAAAACGTATACAATTTTCTGACGGGTTTTTTTTTCTTTGAAACAGCTTTTATTAGACATTTATGGCCTTATGCATAATAAAAAACTAACCGCTGGCTAACAAGCTTCTAACTTTCCCTTATGGGAATAAGGCCGTTCGTTTTTAGGAAAGCTTTTTTCATTCTTTATAAACTGGTGTATTTACCTGTTTAGAGAAAATATTTTTAAAAAGAGATTTTTTGAAATAAAAGTAAAGACAATATATTTTTTTTTAAATAGAACTTGTTGTTGAGCATATTTTTTAAGAAAATTTAGTTTGGAGAAAAGCTTTTGACACGGATATTTTCAGAAAAAGCTTTCTTGTAAATGAAGTATTTCTCACCAAATAGTGTTATATAATTTTGGCGTATAAAATTATTTTAAACTTATAGAAACTAGACGCTTTTGAGTTTATAATTAAAAAAATATCTTCAAAAGCTTTTATTTACAAACACGGGTATTACAACAAAATATTAAAATTTATAATTTTTATTCATAATGGAAGGAATGTATAAATACGTTAACTTTTATTTATAAGCTTAGGAGAATGTCGGTCACTTTCCAGTAAAAATATTAGACTTTTAGGAAATCTAGAAGCAAAATCAGCAATAGAAACGAGTTCAATAGTCTACTTAACAAAGTTATGCATAGCGAGATGGTGAAAGTTTGACAACACATAACTAATAAACAAGGCAAGTGAATTTACTCTTAAATGCTTATATGAGTGTTATAAAAATATTCTATTTATTGTGATATTTTTCTAAACTCATTAAATACTGGTGATACCTTCATTTTTATCTCGATTTTTAAACTAAATTTATTGTGTTAAAAGATTTCTTAATAGTTTAAGTGTCTTGAGTGAGTGTGAGTGTGTGATTGTGTTTCATTTAATTGTTTTAAATATATTTAGTAAATATATATGTATATATATTGTATATCATACAAACTTATGCATAAATTCAATTAACATCTAAGCAGACAGAGATCGATATTTATTTAATTAAAGCCTAATTTAGATTTCATATCATTTCATTAAAGTTTTATTTTGTTTACATTATAAAGTGATTATTATTGTTGTTATAATTGTATATACTTACAAACAAATATTCATTAATTTATTTATTTATTTACTTTTATTATTAATTTATTTATTGATTTATTTTACAATATTTTGTTGTTGTTCTACTAAAAAAATTTACGTAATACACCATACCACAGCATACCACCAAACGATTTTAAAAACTCAGTTTTTTATGTTAAATTTTTTCACGTTAGTGTTTGTTTTTTTTTTCTTTTTTTTTTGTTAAATTACAAATAGAAAAATTAAGCGGCCAAAAAATAAAATTATTGTATTTTTTCCATTTAATTGATTTTTATTGTTTAAGGGGAGGGGCTTGTTTTTGTTGTAATAAGTTTGTTTTGTCAAGTTTTTTAAGGCAACGGATAGTGATTTTGTTCAAAGTCTTTTTGATGATCCGTTAAGGATTTCTTTGAAGTTTCCAAACGTCTATCGGTAATAGCTACAAATGGTAAACGCTGTTTACGTCCTGGTATAAAGCCTGCACCCACTAAACGTGGTGAGGCATCGACTACACGATGATAAATGAAAGAGTTTGTAACCGAAGATGAAGACGCAGCGGACGAGGGCGAGGACGAGGAGGGAGAAGTTAAATGATTGCTGCTGCTACTGCTGCTGCTTTGAGTTTTAGCTGCATCCGGTGAGGTTGTGGTTGTATTTGATACTGATTGCTGTTGTTGTTTATTATTGTAATCATTTGGTGTGTTGGCTGAAAAGCGGCCATTTATTGTTTTACTTACAACTGGAGCTTTATTATAGGCCACAAAGCCACCAGCATTTATAAAGTTATTATTGTTGTTGATATTGTCATTGTTATTTAAATTATTTAGATATGGCAAGGGTACCCTACGAAATTCCGAACCAGAACTGGGTGCAAATTGTGCACTACGTGATCTGGGACGATTCATATAACCACCGGCTATGGATGGATATGAGGGTAATTTATGTATTGCTGACTTTTTTGTTGTTGTTGTAGCTGCTACTGCTGGTGTTGATGTTATTAACTTTTCCATTTGCCAATTTGTTATTTGTAAATTTCCGGCTGCCATATTTGCTGATTTAGTTTCAATTTCCTTTTGCCAAATTTCTTGTTCTGACTTGGAATCATCATTAGCAATTTCATCAACACCAACGCCACTCTCGTGTTTAGCACTGTTGCTGCTAAATTCATTCTCCTGTTCATTGGATTCCAATGAAATGCTAACATCTTCATCGGGTAAATGATTTTCAGTGTGTGTATACTGTCTAGCCGTCATTTCATCTCCATCCCCTCCACCACCATCTCTGTCACCGTTGACATTGACATATGGATAGGGTGGTGGTTGCGTGGTAGTAGTGGAAGTTCTTTGTTGGGCAAATAAATCGTGTATTTGACGTTGACGCTGATGATAACGTTTACGCTTCTCTTTAAGGTAATCATCGTCTATGCGCACCGACATGCTGCCCACACTGGAGTCTCTAGGTCCCGGCTGTAGTTTGGAGCCAGACCATCTTAATTGTGGTGCTGTCTTGGTAGGCGGCGCTATGGTGCCCTCTAAGAGATCTAGCAATTGTTTGTTGCGTCTATTAAATTTACGTATATAAGGTGGTAAATTATCATCTTTATTGTCGTTATCTTCGAAATAGTCATCATTGTCGTATTCATAGTCTGGATAATTTTCGGATTGTTCTTCACGCATTTGTTCTTCGTGCAACCGTGATTGGACCTTGGCTAAATGAGGCCATTTGGCATAATAGCGCTCTAGATCTTTAATATCTGTGATCTGGTGGCCCAATTCTCCTATGCCATTGGGACTCATCATTTGTTTCCGCGAAGGTGGTGGCATGGGTGTAGTGGTAGTAACCAAACGTTTGGGTATCATTTTGCGTTGGTAGGCATGATGTCTGGAATGTTTTAATGCTTGATGGTGGTGGGGCTGTCGAGCATGCTGCTGCTGTTGATGATGGTGTTGCTGATGATAATGATGATTACGTGTTTGGCCATGATGCAGCTGACCATGATGCTGCGGCCTGTAATGATGGTAGGGGGTATAACCTCCCCTAGAGCGTCCCACACCTATGCCGCTGCGTTCCTCTGCCACCGGATTTATTTTCTTATTGCCATTTCTCAATACCGGACTCAATTTTCGATACCAGTCATTTGTATCCATTCTCTCACCTTTGGTTATAAATCTAACTTCATTAGCTCTTTCACTATCATCGTCAGGAGTTTCTAGGAAATAATTAATTTGTCCCTCATAAAATGGTTTGGTGGTAGGTTCCTCGACTTTCTCCATTTCCCTTAAATCTTCCTTATTGTCCTTTTCCTCGCGCGGTTTCAAAACGAATATGGGTGCGGGCGGTATTAGCGATTTAAGTTTTTCCAACTTAAATTTCTTGGCATGTTTATCGCGCAAGAAATTTAAGTCGGCCACCTCTGTGTCTTGATTGTCTTTCAGCAAGTTTATTGCATTTTTTGTAGGAGTTTGCTGCTGGGCGCTAGCAGTGGTCTGGGGACTGGGAGTGCTAGTGGTTGTCATCATCATTATCTGTGAATAGCGCAGATAATCTTTGTATTTCTTTTTATGGGTTTTATGACCGTAACGTTTATTGTTGCGTCTCAGAGATTTTTCCTTTTCGAATGCTGTTTGCTTTTTAACTTCATGTGTTGATTCTATATTTCCCATACAATTGTTGTTGTTTTATATTTTTCCATCATGTTGTCGTGTTGCAATTAAAGTTGAACATATAGGGTTGTAAAGTTGAAAGGGATAAAGAAAAGAAGATACAAAAAAAAAGAAAAATGAAATATGAGGTTTGGTTAGTTAAAGTTTTATTTCTTAACTTTTTTTGTAGATTACATTTTGATTAAAGTCTTAAATGTTATAAATTCCAAAAACTATAAAAGTGCTATAAAAGAAATTAAAAGAAAATCTATTGTATAAATTTCACAAGGAAATTTTTTAATTTCTGTTCGAAATGGTTAAAGTTAGAAAAGTAATAACTTTTTCTAATCACAAAATGTGTTTAATGCAAAAGGGAAATGGTAAAAATTAAGTCAATTAAAATTTGCTAAATTTGTAATGTAAAACTCAATGGGCAAAACTATAAGCAATTATATACTTTAGCCAAGTCTTCAGTCTATACCATCGTTAAAACTTAAGCAAGCCTATAGTAAAATATATAGTCTCCACTGTAGTAAAGGCTATAATCTTTACTGTAATCAAGACTTTAGTCTATATAGTATAGTATATACTATATTTAAAACTATTGTCTTTACTATAGTCAAGACTATAGTCTATGCTATAGACAAGACTATAGTCAAGAATATAGTCTATACTATAGTCAATACTATAGTCAATACTATAGTCTATACTATAGTCAATACTATAGTCTATACTATAGTCAAGACTATAGTCTATACTAGAGTCAAGACTATAGTCTATACTAGAGTCAAGACTATAGTCTATACTAGAATCAAGACTATAGTCTATACTAGAATCAAGACTATAGTCTATACTAGAATCAAAACTATAGTCTATACTATAGTCAAGACTATAGCCTATACTATAGTCAAGACTATAGTCTTTACTATAGTCAAGACTATAGTCTATACTATAACCAAGACTATAGCCCATACTATAGTCAAGAATATAGTCTATACTATAGCCAAGACTATAGTCTATACTATAAACAAGACTATAGTCTATAATATAGTCAAGGCTATAGTCTATACTATAGTCAAGACTATAGCCAAGATTATAGTCTATACTGTAGCCAAGACTATAGCTAATACTATAGTCTATACTATAGCCAATACTATAGTTTATACTATGGTCAAGACTATAGTCTGTACTATAGCCAAGACTATAGTCTATACTATAGCCAAGAGTCTTTACTATAGTCAAGACTATAGTCTATACTATAGTCACGTTAATAGCCTATACTATAGTCAACACTAAAGTCTATACTATAGTCTCGATTATTGTCAATACTATGGTCTAAACTATAGTCAAAACTTTAATATAGTCTATTAACTGAACTATTAACTTTAAGTTTAGTTGTCAGTACTATGGTCCAAACTATTGTCAAGACTATAGTCAAAACTTTAATATAGTCTATTAACTGAACTATTAACTTTAAGTTTATATTCATTTCGAATCAAAACTAAAAGTCTCTCATTTAAATTTAATATTTGTTCATGATTTCAAATTACTCACATACATATGTAGTACTAGATTTTCCAACTGTTAAATAGCACAACAAAACTTCATTTCCCCTTAAGCGAAAAAAAAAACTTAATTTTCATGGACTTTTAACTCCTGCCAACACAAACAAACATAAAATCTTGTCTATTTAACATTTTATTTTCTCTATTTTGCCGTAAAAAGGAATTCAATTAAGCCTAATTCTGTGTTAATTTTTGTCTAAAATGTCACAAATTAAATGACTTTTCTCATTGTAGTCGTCATACATGATCATACAATTGTACACTTAAGCTGTCTAAAAGTCTATTTGTATATCTGTCTGTCCATTTGTCATTTAGTTCCCCTTCATACACAAAATTACAAATGTTGTTTGTATCGTGTCAGTTTTTGTGTTTTTCATTTACAACAGATTTTTCCCTTGTACGTTCACCCCTTGTTTTAAATGTACATGTGTAAGTATTGGTTGTTATCCCCCTCCGTTTGTGAAATGTATTTGTATTTTGGGTATTGTTGTCATTTAATGCTGATTACAGCAGATTCTATTTACAATTCACAGGCAACGATTTAAAAAGAGGTGTTATCCTCCTGCTCCTTTTATATACATTTGTACATCTATTCCGTTTTGTTCTAGGTTTTGAGGTTCTGTTGTTCTTGGCTCTATCACCACAATATAGCCGAGTATTTTATGGCAGCAGTTGACATTTTATTGTCGTTGACAATAAAGTTTTATATGTCATTTGTAATTTCATTGTACTGTTTATATTATATTGCTGTTGCTGCTACTGCTGTTGTTGTCGTATTGTATATTGCTTGTAGCAATGTAGTTGCAGCAATTATTGTTTATCATGTTTGTGTGTTGTATTATTGTTGTTGCTTTTGCTGTTGTCATTTTATTTTACAGGAAAAGTATTATAAATACCATGATTTAAGGGCTGAGTTAGGAAAACGTCAAGCGTTTTAAATAGATTTGCAATTTAGAGTTTAACTGGGATGAGTAGAGTAAACAAATTACGAATTGAACGCATTGAATGATAGATAAAGTTCTAGTACTTTTAAATGAAAAAGGATATACACATGTGATATGAAAACTAGGTGATAGTTTTTTATTTCTCAGTTTTTTTTTTTTTTTATAAATTCATTGTTTCATTGTATGTAAAACTCATTGTGTGTTATGAGTTTTACATTTATCGAAGTTTTATAAAATACAATTTTTTTCTTATTATTCGCACCTATTTTTCTGTCCACATGTGTATGTATTTTCGATAGCAAGATTGTATAAAAACTTTAGCGTAATTACACAACTCAACTAAAAATAAAATTTTGTTTTTGATAAATACAATGTTTTTTATAATGAAAATACATCTGACAAATACAAATATCTCAGAAAATATTCTAAGAAAGTCATTACATAACTGATCCCATGTAATGTACATATTATGTAGTAATTTAAATAATTGTTCAATTAAAATGAATATTGCGAAATTACCTTTCTTTGTCAATTAGTGTAATCTTTCCAAATCTGATATTTCATAATTGCCTTTTTTAGTCACATGTCAATCAGGAAATTTACTTTAACAACAACGTTCGTGGTAATATTATGTTTGTCATAAACATTAATTATAAATGTAATTTATTCCGTTTTTCTCATTTAATATTTTTAAAACTTTTGTATCTATAAGTTGAAGGTTAAAGGTAAACTAATTGCCTTCATGGACATGTAAATTGTTGGAATATATTTACTCTAGGCCTTAGTGATTTTCAAGTGATATTGTACTATATTAAATTTTGACGTTTTTGTTACTTCAACATTAAACAAAATTCTCAAGAAAAGTGTGTTTCCAGTTACTTGAAGTTGACTTGACAAAGAAGGCAAACTGTAAACGTGATTGGTTTATTAAAGATTTTGTATACAATATATACAATAGGGTGTACCAAGTTGATGAAATTTAGAATAACCTTTTCTAAACAAATTTTTCATGTATAGTAATAGCTTTTTGAAGTTTTATAAAAAATGATTAGGTGGTTATAATGGACATGAAACTCAGATTATTAGAACTAACACACTACCAACCAAATATCCTATTGAGATAACTTATAAGATTAAACAATAATGAGAAACTTTCACTAATCTGCCGCGATTGAAGTCAAATTTCTAAATAATTTATTATAATTTATTAAATTTATTTTTAATACATTTTTTTTTTAATATTATTATTTTTTCTTTTTCAGGTAAGTCACTGCTTAGAGCTTTTTACGGTGGACTACATTTAAGGTAAAAATTGTAAATTATATTTATATTATACACCAATATAGTAGGAAAAGCCTTATGTATTTGTGTTGATGTCACTAATGACCAAAAAGTAGGGAATCACATCCAATAAAGTCCGTCCGTCTGTGAAACAAAATAGATTTTGCTTAGAAAGACCAGATAGCAACATTCCAAAAATTTTGATAAATGTTGTCATGTTGTCAATGTCAAAGTTACTTGAAATTATTTGATATAATTTAAAATCACACCAAAAGAATCGAGTTCAATTTAACCCTAAAACTAGATAATTTCAAAAAGTAGTTTCCATATCTGTCCATCAGTCCGTCTGTCTGTCTGTAGAAGGGACGTTAATGCCCAGATTACATTTGTAATCATCAGATTACAAATGTAATCTTGAAAATATGCAAGTTGCTTTATAAAAAAATTTCTCGAAAGAGACAAAGAAATAAGTGAGATTTTCGAAAGAGGCAAACGTTTAAGTCATATTCCGATGGGGTTCTTATATGTGGACCGATTGCTTATTTCAATAACAAACAAAATGCACCAAAAGAAAATATTGTGGACATATTTCTATAAAAACCTCTCTATTGCTAAACCTCTCTATATATATAAAATTCTAACGTTACTGACTCACTGACTGACTGATTCATCATCGCACAGCCTAAACGGTTGAAGCTAAAGAGCTGAAATTTGGACAGGAGATTGGTCTTCCACCAAAAAGATCCACTAAGTCGGGTTTTTTGGAAATTCGAAAAAGGGTAAAAACGTGTAAATTCGGTAACCTCATATCTCCTAAACTAGAAAAGATACAAAAACAGTTTAAAGCTTATTGTCGTTCATTTAAAAATAAGCTGATAGGTGTCTGGTACTTTTTTCAAATTCGGACCCTTTGGGGAATAAACGGGTAGAAACAGTATTTTGGTACTTTTTTTGCACCCCATGTGAACATACAAAAGATATTTTTGACTCCTTTATAACTTAACGAAAAAATAAAAATACGAATTTAGTACTTTTTGGATATTCGGTCGTTTAAGGGCTGAAAATTGTACATATTTTTGGTACTTTTTGAATAAAACATTGTTTCCTATGTATCGATTTGTACATGTGAATGAATACTTAATGATAAGCTCCCACTATGATATTGCAACTTTTCGGAATAAAATGTTTATTACTTCGATAGAGAGAAAAAAGTACCAAAAGGTGGAAAAAAGGGAAAATTGATTTTATTCAAACTCATTGACCCAATATTAATAAAATTGGAAAAATTGGTAGATTTAGTACACTAAATATGTCAATGGGGTATTACTTGGAACTCCAGCACAAAGGAATATTTTTGTTACATTTTTAGTTTTTTAACTGGTACTTTTTGAGTTTTTTATAATATTGATCCTGGAAACATGAAATTAAGCATGTAGAGAACGGAGTAAATGAGAATCAATAAAAGGGAAATTTTTGGTACTTTTTTGTTTTTTTGATTGTATTTTTAAATTTTTTATAATAATGAACCGGAGTAAATGAGATTGTATAAAATGGGACTTTTTGCTACCTTTTCGTTCTTTTTCGTTTTTTTAACTGGTACTTTTTGCATTTCCTGTAATATTGAACCTAAAAACATGAAATTAAGCATGTTGAGCTATAAAAGGGGACTTTTTTGTCCTTCGACTGGTACTTTTTGAGTTTTCCATTAAATTGAACTTATTGGTACTCAAAAAAGTACCAATCGAAGTACGATGATTGGTACTTTTTTGAGTTTTCTATTAAATTGAATCTAGAATCATGAAATTAAGCATGTAGAGCTCGGATCAAATGAGAATCTATAAAAGGGGACTTTTTGGTACTTTTTCGTTCTTCAAAATGTACTTTTTGCATTTTCTATAATATTGAACCTAGAATCATGAAATTAAACACGTAGAGACCGGAGTAAGTGGAAACATATAAAAGGGGACTTTTTGGTACATTTTCGTTCTTTCTAAATTTTTATATTATTGATCCTAGAAACATGAAATCTCTAAATTGATATTGATATTTGATATTGCTGAAATACGATCAGGGTAGCGAAGCACACTGGGTATAGTTTGTTAGATATATTGTAAAAGCAAAAATTAAAAAACTTTTGTCATTTAAGAATTCAATGGTCTCTGAATATAGTCCCTCGATATAAGTATGTATATGTATATATTTGACGGTCTACGACCAATAAGATGTTTTGAACTGAAAAGTAGGAAAATCTATTTTTTTTTTAATTTATTTCTGTTAGAATGATTTTGGATATTTCAGATCAGTAGAGAAATCACGAGAAATTCTAATCTATACTCAGGTCCTTCCCTCTGGATAGAAATTCATAAAATCGGTATATATTTGCAAAAATTATAGGGTCCAAGAAATTTGCTCTTAAATTTTTAAATTACAAATTTTATTATAATTTTTTTTTCCCAAATAGCTTCACTGTTTACTCTTATATATAAAAAATGATTGAATTTATCTCTCTGGAATTTACTTATTATGATTGATAGTTCTATACATATACAAAAGCAATATGTTTAAAACAATAATAACAATAATTCATATTGCTTTTAGATACAGACTCTATTTAATGGAATAACAATAACAACAAACCAAAGTAATACTTATCAACAAAATATAAACACTCTGCAGTAAAAATAAATAAAAAATATATTTATTTAAGTATGAAATCAAGTTTAAATAATAATAATAAATGTTTGCTACGTGTAATAATAGAAAGAACCAAAACGTAAAACGAGAAAAATAAGTTGTAAAGTTTTACTAACCTCTTTCATTATTCTCATCATAAAAACTAAAATCCTTGGGGTTCAATTCTCCTGTTGGGTGATGATGATGCTTCTGCTGCTGCTGTTGGATATGATGGTCTGAAGTTGATGTTGAATTTTCTTTTAAAATGTCATAATATTTTTTCTTGAAATTTTCTTCTTGTGATGATACTTTTGCCACGGCATCCGGATGATTTCCTTCAGTGTTAATTTGGGATTTTAGTTGTTGCTGCTGCTGTTGCTGCTGTAGTAGTTGTTCTTGTTTAAGTTTGGTGTATCTATTGGTGGCATCATCTAAACGTGCAGCACCATTGTGTCTTTTCATTTTACGTGGTATGAAAATATTTGCAAAATTATTATTATTTTTATTTTTACTTTCATTGTCATTGTTATTATTGCTGTTAGTGTAGCTGTTTGTTTTGAAAATATTGGAATTTTCAGTTTCTTCAATATCACCAATGGCATCTTGTTTGGGTTGGTTTAGTTGTTGTTGTTTTTGTAATAGTTGCTGCTTTTGCTCCAGTAAATGTTGATGGAATATTTCATAATCGTTAAGATTTTTCTTATTTTTATTATTGTCATCAGTATAATCGGCCATGTGCTTAATTTTGTCATTATCTCGATTATTGGTCATTTCTTCATTCGAGTCTGGTCTACTAAATGTCTCATCATCATTTATTATTGTCTTTAGTGTGGACATTTGTTCTTTTTGCTGTTGTTGTTGTTTTTGCTGTTGTTCTCTTTGTTTCTGTTCATGCATACTTTTAAATTTTTCATATTCAGCACTACCATCATCATCATCTTCATCGTCCAGTTCAAATTTGTCCTCCTCATCTTCATCAGCATCATTATCATCATCATCAAGACTGTCGTTGTCTTTCAAACTTTTTGCTACATCTACATCTCCATATATGTTGTATTGATTTGAATAGTCAATATTGTTTTCATATTTAATTTGTTGTTGTTGTTTTTTCTTTTCCTTATTTTTATTGTCATTGTTGCTCTTGAATGTTTTCCTTTCTTTAAACATTTCCTTTTTATTATTAGTTTTCTTTAAGTTTTTCTTAGTTGTTTCTTCAACCACCATATCTTCATCTTCTTCACTGCTGTCTCCATCATCATCATCATCATTATTGTTGTTGTTGTTGGTTTTAATGTTTTTGCTGCTATTGCTGTTACTATTGTTGTTGCTATTTTTGTTGTCATCACTTTGTTCACTGGACCTTTGTGACTCAAGTATCTAAAAGTGTACATAAGACAAAATAAAAAGAGCGATTTAAATGAATAGCTAGAAACGAAAAACTTTTTGTTTATAGTTGAAGTGAGAAAGGGCTTAAATTAATTTTTTTTTTAATTTTTAATAATTTTTCAAGTGTAATTTCAATTTTTTTAAATTAAATAAATTTTGTAAAATTAACTATTTTATAATTACATTCTTTTTTAAATTTTACTTCTATTTTATAAAATATTTGCCCATTGTGCTTATACATATGTAGCAGCTCTACACACATACATACATACATTGATTACAAGTTTATTAGATTGTTCGTAGAAAATAAAGTTTGTTTGTTCGAACTATAAGGAAGTCATAAAAATCATTGATTGTATAAACCATTTCATTTTTTTTTCATTCTTTATTTTTTTTTTTTTTTGAATCTTAAAACTAAAAAAGCTTAATAAAGTTAAGGATATTAAACTAACAAAAAGAGGTTTAAAAGTTTACTGAAAACAAAAGGAGTAAAAAATACTTTAAGAAGCCATCAATTCGTTTACGTATAAGTACCTTTTCTTCAGTTTATAATCTATAAAATTTATTATATTAAACTTAGAAAAAGAAAATAAACTGATGTTACTTACGATGTATAGTAAGAAAACTAAATTTAAAATCACTAGAAATTTAAACAAATTGCAAACTTAAATTCTATTTATTTTCTTTTTTTCTATAAAAATATTTTCTTATTCTATACAATTCTGCTAAAAAACAAACTGACCAGACTTGTTTTGCTTTTTCTCAACTCCCTGGAGGATTTGTACTTCTGTTACATAAATATTTATGACTTTTAAAAATTGTTTTCATATTTGTTCTTACACTATACATACATATACATACATACTTCTTTAAAGGACATAAAATGAATAATGTACATATGACACATATTGTATTTTTTTTTCTGTTCAATATTTTTATTAAAATAAAATAAAGACATACTGTAGATATAATAGAAAGGAACAAATATGAGGATAAAGTATTTTCGCATTACAGTGAAAAGAAAATATATATAGTATAATCGAAAGCTACCAGCAAGTGTCTTTTATGGCATAATACAAATAATTTCAATAGAATTGTTGTTAACCCGGTTTTGTCAATTGGAAAAAAGAAACTATAGATAAATAGAAAAAATAAATAAAAAAACTAGTCCAGCAGGTTCAAAAGGATTTAAGTTAGAGCTTTAAAAAAATGTTTTAAGCTATTTTAACTATTTGGTTGACAAAATTTATTGTTGTTGAATCATTTGACAAGTGTTTTGCTTTTTACTGCTAGAGTTACTTTAGAGTATTCAAGTAGTAAAGCGAAAGTCATTCATCACATTAGTATCCTCAAGTAATTTAGGGAGTAGTCACTAGACAACTTTTTTTTGTACTGTATCATAGAATGTAGTCATTAAAATATCTTACTAGAACTATTCTAATACCGCCCCAATAGTAGTCCATTTGTAACAGAAAGAAGTATTGCTAGTTCTCTTTTGTTTGAATCAAAGGAACATATTTGTAAATGTATACTTAATAGGCAAACAGACAATAATTGTATTGAAGGACTTACCAGATATGGAAAATTTAATACTATTATACTTTTTCGGAATTTTTGTTATCGAAAACCAACGCAGTAGCTCTACGACACCTAAAGTACATTTTCATATTATTCATTTCAAATAGACTAGTTCTATGTAGTCCTCAGACTAATCAGAAAAACAGTCAATACATTAGCCTATACACAAGTCACTAGAGCTAATCATGGAACAGTCAACAGACTGGTAGCCCATAGACTTGTTGATTGACTATTTTATAGACTACTCCACTTACTACTGCATTGGCTTGTCCATCGTCAAATTAAAAGACTAATCAATTTACAATTCCATAAATTACTCTAGACTACTCTACTTACTACTGCATTGGCTTGATCATCGTCAAAATAAAAGACTAAGCAATGGATAATTCCATAAACTAATCAATAGACTAGCCCATTGACTAGTCTATAGTCTAGTCCATAGTGTTTTCCATAGTTTAGTTTATAGACTACGCCACTTACTACTGCATTGGCTTGTCCATCGTCAAATTAAAAGACTCATCAATAGATAATTCCATAAACTAATCAATAGACTAGCATATTGACTAGTCCATAGTGTATTCTATAGTTTAGTCCATGGCCAAGTCAATTAACTAGTTCGTAGTCTAGTTTATGGTCTACCGCATTCATTATGAACTGAGCCATAGACTAGCCCATAGTATAGTCAATAGACCATAGACTGGTCCATAGACAAGTCAACTATAAGTCCAAAAACTAATCAATAGACTAGTTCACAGACTAGTCAATATACTAATTGAAAGACTAGTCAATAGGTAAATCCATAGGCTAATAAATAGCATAGTTCAAAGACTAGTTAGATGCACGCTAATCGGTACATAGTTAGTTAGTTTGAAAGGAGGATGTACATATATACATCAGATCCGAAGAAATACACCTAGGCCTCTATCGGGCCTCTGTCGGAACCCACCACCTCCGGTCTACCAGACTAGAACACTAACCACTAACCTAACGGAGTACACATCGGTACAAACATTATGAACTAGTTCAGGTTAGTAAGAGTCCATCAAAAGTCTATTCCAAAGATAAGTCTATAACAAACTACCCAAAACTCATGATTATGCTTTGCAAAAATATTTGACTCCCTTTTTTTAAACAACTTTTAGGATTACTTTCCTATATTTCTTTATAAATCCACTCTCTGCCCCTTGTATGTACACTCAAAAAAGTTTTACATTAACTGATTGTAGTTTATCCAAAAAGTTTTCTGTAAAGTTAAAAATCAATGAAAATTCATTTATTTTATTGAACATAATATTTTTTAACCTTTTGGATATGTTGTTTAAACAACAAACTACAGAAAAAAATGTTTTTTTCTTTACAGTTAATATTATTGGTAATTATTTTTGTTTTTAAAAAATTAAAAAAAAACATTTCCGGTAAAAGTTTTAAATGCCAAAGAAAATAATACAATAATTTTAAAAAACACAATTTGTTATTTTTTTTTATATAAAATACAGATTTATGTATATTTTAAATTGGCGTAATAATAGCGATATAAATGGTAAGTTAGCATTAAGTATGCATTTTATTAAAAATATTTTATAAAAAACGCCTGTTTTAGTTTCATCAAAGTCGTGAGTTCCTTATAATTGCATGTTATTTAAAGGTAAGATTTCTACATACTAATTCTTAATCCAATTAGAATATCTTAAGATTTTATTATACCCTGGACTATTTTACTGAAAAGTGTTAATGTTGGTGTTGATGTTTGCAATGCATCGACGTGGATTGTTTACTACATTCGTCCATCCGTCCGTCCGAGTGTCTATGTCACAAGATATTTTTATAAAATTTGCCAAAAGAGGTTTTCTTTGGTGTAAGGACTAAGATTATAAAAACTGTTTAAAATCGGGCTACCATCTCCATAAAAATGTCGTCCGAAACTGGAAATTAGAATTAACAATTTGACCCTCATAAAATCTGCAAAAATAAATTTATATAACCAGAACCAATCGGCTTCATTTAGTCGATCTAGACCGGTTATGCTTTTTTAAAACTTTGTTAATAGTACATTTTGATAAATATTCTTTATTTTTTAGATCTAGAAATCTTCTATATTCCTTTTTAAAATACAAGGTGAATGTCCAAAAACTTGCTACCAAATATAGAGGCTGGTGCATTGACAGCTATTAAATCGTAAGTATGCATTTGTCACAAATTTTACATAATATACATATTTTATAAAAAAAATTTCTTCTTTTTAGTTTCTTCAGATTCTTGTGCTATTTGTGTGCAATTTCACGTTGTTCAAGTACTAGAACTATCAATGGCCAAAAACTTGCTGTTAAAACGTTTCGGGATATCGGAGTAATAATATCATTTTAATCGATTTTTTTAAATTGTTATTAGTCATTTGATGTGTTACCATATTGTATGTAAATCTGTTATATTTATCATAATAATCGATTTTCTAAATAGTTAAGATATTTCTTATATCACTATAATTAAATAAATACATATGTGCATAAATCCAAAGAAAAAGCAGTTAGTTTAACTTTACTGGGAGTTTGTTTTTTGTCATTAAAAACAACAGAAAATACAGTAGAAATTACTTTTTTGTAGGTAATTTTTTGTAAGTTAAAATAACTGAAATTTTTTTCATTTTTACTGTTTTTGTAGGTAAAAAATTGTATGTTGAAATTACTGAAAAAAACATTTCTTTCTACATAATTTGTTAGTTATAAAAATAACATTCAAAAATAATTGAAAAATTCTTTTGATTTAAATGAAAAATTTGTAGTCCGTTTTTTAAATGATATTTCATTTGTTTAAAATGGCTTTTCAGTTGAATTTACGTACAAAATATTTTGAGTGTATGTATAGATTTATGTATTTAAATATACAAACTAAAGAAATGACCTTATACTACTTACAATATCAGCATCTGAATCTGTATCTGTAGAAGAATCATCATAAGGCAAGTTAACATCAATAATATCATCATCACCATTCACAATACTTGAGCCTGATGCTGTTGCTGCTGCTACTGCACTATCACCAACATATTTTTGTTGCAGCTGCTGCCGCTGCTCTAACTGTAAACCTTGTTGCTGTTTGTCTATAATTTCTTGTAGATGTTGTTGGTCAATAATGTCCTCAGGTATTGAGGTCTCATCTTGCATATTGAAATCTGCAATGACAAGAAATAACAAAAATTCAAAGATAAATAGTAAATAGATATTTAAGCTTAAGAATAACAACTACTAGGTACATATTTAGAAATGTAGGTTTGTAGGGGTTTCTTTCAAATGTTTTTGTTTGCCTGCATGTGACCTGCATAAAATAAAAACCAAACGACCTACAATTTGTTTGTTAATTTTTTTTTTGTTTAAAATTTAAAAATTTTTCTATACAAAAAAAAAAAAAAAACAACAAATCTGCATTGTGGTCTATGTGGCCTAGAAATTCTGTTATATTTTAGTGTGCCAGCATTTAAAAATTTGTAACTATTGAGGTGTAAAATGTTTCAATTGTTTTATTTTCATACGTTTAGTGTTTATTGGCAAAAATATCTGCAATATTTTTATAAAGAAATTTAACAATATTGAAACATTTGAAATTGTTGAAATAATAAATTGGCATATTGTTTCAGTGATTCATTGTTTAAAGATTGAAGTGGTAAATTTTAAATAAAGGAAAATAAAAAATAAGAGTGCAATACAAATTTTATTTATTAATTATACCCTACACCACTATAGTAGGGAGGCTGTTATGTGTTTGTGCTGACTTTTGTAACACCAAAAAAGATTGGTCCTACTCCCACCAAAAAGTATAACCATCACTTTCTATGTCCGTCTGTCTGTTTGTCTGTCTGTCTGTCTGTTTGTCTGTCTGTTTGTCTATCTGTATGTCTGTATGTATGTCTGTCTGTCTGTCTGTCTGTCTGTCTGTCTGTCTGTCTGTCTGTCTGTCGGTCTGTCTGTCTGTCTGTCTGTCCGTCTATCTAAACCTTGTGTGCACGACAGACGTTACTGTCAACTTTGTGCGCACGTTACAGATTGAAATGTTCACGATAATTTGATGAAACCAAGGACTAAACCTCTTGAAAATGGTTGAAATATACACCCATATACCATATACACCACCATATACACCCGCACCCCCAAATAGGGGTCCCGGTGGTTTTGTTAAATGTTATAGACACAACTTGGTTTTGCATAAGTCTAAATATTATTGCCGATTTTCGTAATTATTGGGTCATATTAGATCCTAGCACTCATACAAAGTTCCCTTCAGAAAATGACTTGAAGGTCAATAATTCAGTTATAAACACTACTATCAAGATACAGTTTTGTCTTTCTGTCTGTGTGTTTGTTTAAATCAATTTTGGAAGGCCCCAGGTATCATTGAGATCCAAATCTTTAAAAATACTAGAATTAGGGAAGGTCAATAAATAATATGTAGTGGAAACAAGCATGATTAGAGCCTTAATTCGTGTTACTTCGATACTCGTTCTATGGATGGGTTCTTGAACTAGTTCTGATTTTTGTGAGAATTTGTCACCCCCAAAATTTATTCCAGGGAAGCTTTAGAGAGCTTATTCGCTGTCTTTAAAAGATTATTGGAAATCATTTTTTTTATTTAAGATGTAAAATGTTCTGGAGAATAACTTCTAGGAGTAATGGCCAGTTCCATGTATGCTATTGAAGAATCTGAAGAGGTTTTGTTTGTATTCGTTTCAGAATTACTTCTTTAGAACAGTAATTTCAAAATAATTTATTTTTAAATTATTTTAAATTGTTTTATTATATTTTTATTTAAACAAACATTGCTGTTGTACAAACAAATTTAAATTGTTCTCTCATTATAAATCCAATTCATTTTAAATAATTGTCTTGAGATTAAAGAAAAACAAAAAACACAAGGAATAAAAGGAAAACCCATTTAATATTATATAATTCTTTCGTTTAACACAAATATTAAAAAAAAAAACTGAAGCAAACATACTGACAAAGAAAAGTAGACAACAGTAATAATAATTTATCCATACACATTTTTATACATTTTTAAATGAAAATCATTTCAGTAATTATCCTTAAGGGTATTTTATGAACAACAACAAAAAAAACTGAAATAAAAAAATTTAAATAAAAATATGAAAAAACCATCATGTATAAACGAAAATAAAAATTCTCATATGCATGTAAAGGAAACATATTATAATAAAATTCCCATTAGAAACCCATAGACATTGTGTTCATATTTTCATGTATAAATTCCTTTAGACTACATGAGAGAGAAAAATAAGAGCACCACGCAATTAAATAAATTTTCAAATCATGTTTCCAGTCAGTTTAATAAGCCTGTTTGTGGTTTCGGTGGTAATTCTGTAACTTAATATTCGATGATAATTTTACATTTGTTTTCTATATTATTTTAAGATTTCTTTACTATTATTTTAATCTCATTTATTTGCCATAGACTATATTCAACCATTTAAAATTATACTCTTCTATGAAAGCATTGTTGAGTCTCTAGTGTTTTATATAAATATATTTGTAATGTTATTTTTTCATCTCTATCTACATTGTGTAAAGAGTATATAAGCGTGTTTGCGTTAAGATCCCCTAAAAGAAACAAAAGGGAAAGAAAGTAAAATGTGTAAATCTGATTATTACATCCGTTCACTTACGATTGTCTAAACATAAAACTCAAGTGTATGAGTGTGTCCCCTTTGGTGTTGATATTGGTGGCATCAGTTATTTGGTTTTGGGGGGAGGGAAAATATAATAACAATTCAAGAAAAAGTCAATGTATATAGTAAATACTTATTCTCAGATATTACTGGTACTTATGCGTTCATTCTTACATCCCCTCATTATTTGCTATTATTTTTTTTAACACTTATTATGTTTGAGTTATATTTTGATGACATTATAATGTTTTAATCGCCTTATAACCCTTTTCTGTTAGTGTTGGTTTTTTGGTAATTGGTAGTGTCTTGCGGCTATAAACTTAAGTAGAAAAGTAATACGCTTAATTTGAGAGGGGTTCTTAACGCCAGACTATATAAATAATGCGTAAAAATATTATGATTATGACATTGTTTTGGCCCAATATTTAATATCTTATTTAATGATGTGTTTTTAAGGGATATTACTTTCTTATTTTGGATTTCATAACAAAGATGATATTAATACAAGTTTATACGCATTAGAAGAAATTCTTAGGAATTCACTATGAAAAGTAACTTTTCAGTAAAAAAATCTGTTTTCACTAGAAAAGCCAATTTTCACTAGAAAAGTCAGTTTTCCCTAGAGAAGTCACTTTTCTACAGAAATGTCAGTTTTCCCTATAAAAATCAGTTTTCACTAGAGAAGTCAGTTTTCATTAGAGAAGTCAGTTTTCAATAGAAAACTCAGATTTCATTAGAAAAGTCAGTTTTCACGAAAAAAGTAATTTTTCACTAAAAAAGTCAGTTTTCATCAGAAAACTCAGTTTTCACTAAAAAATTTATTTTTTACTAAAAAAAGTCAGTTTCCACTAAAAGTCACTTTTCACTAGAAAAGTCGCTTTTTACTAAAAAAAATCACTTTTCACTAGAAAAATCGCTTTTTACTAAAAAAGTCACTTTTCACTAGAAAAGTCACTTAAAACATGAAACAAAATGTTAACTACAAAAGTCACTTTTCCCTATCGTTAAAAGTGACATTACACTAGAAAAGTCACTTTTCACTACAGAAGTCACTTTTCACTAGAAAAGTCACTTTTCATTAAAAAAAGGTCACTTTTCTCTAGAAAAGTCACTTTTCATTAAAAAAAGGTAATTTTTCTCTAGAAAAGTCACTTTTCTCTAGAAAAGTCACTTTTCTCTAGAAAAGTCACTTTTCTCTAGAAAGGTCACTTTTTTCTAGAAAAGTCACTTTTTTCTAGAAAAGTCACTTTTCACTAGAAAAGTCACTTTTTACTAGAAAAGTCACTTTTTACTAGAAAAGTCACTTTTCACTAGAAAAGTCACTTTTCACTAGAAGAGTTACTTTTCTCTAGAATAGTTACTTTTCATTAGAAAAGTCACTTTTCTCTAGAAAAGTCACTTTTCATTAAAAAAAAGTCACTTTTCATTAAAAAAAGTCCCTTTCATTAAAAAAGTAACATTTCACTACAAAAGGACTTCTCACAAGAAAAGTCACTTTCATTAGAAAAGTTAGTTTTGAAAAGTCAGTTGTCAGTAACAAATACAGTTTTCAATAGAAATGTAAGTTTTCAATAGAAATGTATGTTTTCACTAGAAAAGCTTTTTTTTCATTAGAAAAGTAATTTTTCACTGAAAAATTCACTTTTTCATTAGAAGAGTCACTTTAAACACGAAAAAATGTTAACTTCAAAAGTCACTTTTCCCTATTGTTGAAAGTGACATTACATTTAATTTCACTAGAAAAGTCGATTTACACTGGAAAAGTCACTTTTCAGTAGAAAAACTGATAGATTTAAACATAAACAAAATATCTTAAATTTTAATTTAAACTAAAGCCAAAACATCTTTTCTAACTCTTATAAAACCAAAATTTTATAAAATATGCATTTTCTAATTTTAAACACTCTTTCAGTTTCATCTTTTAAGTCTGAAAGCATTTTTAGCAATTTTTGAACTCATGAAAGAATAATAAGAGTATTTTGTATATTTAAGCTTTGGTTGCTCAGAAAAAAAATGTTAAGAACTTTGATTTTGAATTCTGTAAATGACAGACAAAATTTACATAATCCCAACAAATGTGCAACACACAAAGTAGACACATGCACAAAATGCTTAACAGTGTAGACAAGGATGGCTCAATTTGTTTTGGGAGCGAGACAGAAATGTTTTCTTTAAAAAGAAAACATTAAAAATTTGGAAATATTTTTTGAAAAAATCCTAGATTGCTTCTAAACTTTAGAGCTAATATTGCAGGACTTAGCATAAATTGATTTCTATCTGTCATGGAAATTCTTGTAACAAAATTTGTTTGTGTAAAAATGAACCTCTCTATTAAATTTCCAATATATATTATAAATTACAGCTACTAACTAAATGAAAGACTGCAAGTATCCAGCAGTTTTACAAGAAATCAATGTATTCCTTTTAGACAATATTTATCCCAAAAGTCTAATTATTTCTGTGACTCAATTTTATAAATCTTAAAATACTTTATT